TCTTGCTGCTGCTGTTCGTCCTCATCCTCCTCTTCCCGGTCATCCTCCTCACCCGCCACCTCCCCCTCGTGGGCATGCAGTTCCTGTTTTTCCGATTACGCACAACACAGATATTCCCGGAAAGGGCGCGGGCCCAGGGTTCTTTTCTATTGTCTTGTTTCCCCCCGGTTTCGGCCGGCTAAAGTATTTGCGAGAGATACGAGGTAAAGTCCAATTCGGCGTGGGCAATTTTAGGGTGTCCCTAGCGAGACGGTGGCTTTGGAAATCCCGATCGATAAAGCACAGGGTGCGGGGCACATTTGGGTCAGGGGCACGAATCCGTATGTTTTTTACGTATGTTCCTATATATATATATATATATATATATATATATATATTGGCCCTCTCCAGGAGGCCCCAGGGGGGTCCCAGGTCACCCAGGGGATATCTGACATGGTTGTCCCGAGCTGGAACCACGTGTTTTTACTTGTCCAGGCCACCCAGTGGGGTAGCTAACGTGGTTGTCCCGAACTGGAACCTTGCGTTTTCACGTGTCCAGGCCACCCAGGTAGTGATCTCACACCATTGTACCGGGCAAGGACCGCGTGTTTCAGCTGTCCGGGCCGCTCAGGAGTTTCTCTAACATGGCTGTCCCGAGCTGGCACCGCACACTGCGCACGCCGACCCGGAATATTTCTGTAAATTTTCCGGTTGGGCTGTTTCTCGCAACAAGACAGACCTGTAAATATTTCTGCAAATATTTATGTAAATATTTCTGTGCATGTTTCTCGAAATGTTTATGTAAATATTTCGGGCTCGGAACAAGACGGACCTACACAGCGAAGCCAGACGCTCTCTCGACTGCGGCGGCCTCGGGGCCCAGGGAAAGCCCGGAGACTGCAGTGCCCAGGCGTCCAGGCGTTTATATGCGCGTCCAGGCCGCCCAGCGGGGTACTCCAGATTTCGGAACAAAAGGGAGGGGGTCTGGACCCTCCAAGACGAGCCATTTCAGACCCCCCCCCCGTGGGAGAACCCTCCAAAACGTCGTCCCCAGACCCCCCAGGCCCTCCAAGATGGCCTGGAAGAGACCCCCCCCCGAAATGAGACCCCCCTCCCTTTATTACGACATCTGGAGTATCTAACATGGTTGCCCCGAGCTGGAACCACGTGCTTTTACGTGTCCAGGCCTCCCAGGGCGGTATCTAACGTGGCGTCGGGCCCGACGCCGAAGTAGCAGGGAACGCCTGGCGGCCCCAAAAGCGCTACCCGAACACATCTCCCAAAACCGGAAAGTGTGATGTTTTCTGGCTCTGGACAGGGGGTGGCGCTTGAAGGGCCTCTGCAGGGAAGACATTGCGAGGATGTCTCGAGCGGGAGCGCGAATTCAGCGTATCCAGTTCACGCAGGGGGTAGTTGACATGCTTGTCCCGAGCTGGAACCATGTGTTTGTACATGTCCAGGCCTCCCAAGGTGAGATCTGCCACGATTGTCCCGAACTGGAACCTTGCGTTTTTACGTGTCCAGGCGACCCAGGGGGATATCTAATATGGTTGTCCCGAGCTGGAACCATGTGGTTTTACGTGTTCAGGCCACCCAATGGGATATCTAACATGATTGTCCCGAGCTTGAACCACATGTTTTTCCCGGAAAGGGCGTGGGCCCAGGGTTCTCTTTTAGTGTTGTTTTCTTTCGATTTCGGCCGGCGAAACCAGTTGCGATAAATGACGAGGTTAAGTCCCATTCGGCGTGGAACAATTGAGGATGTCCCTAGCGAAACGCTTGTTTTTGAAATCCCGATCGATAAGTCACAAGGTGCGGGACACATGTTGGTCGAAAAAGTGCATCCCGTGCGAGCTGGAACCGTGTGTTTTCACATGCCCAGGCCACCCAGGGGGGTATCTAACATGGTGCTCCCGACCTGGAACCACGTGCTTTGGTATGTCCAGGCAACAAAGGTGGGGTATTTCACATGGTGGCCCCGAGCTGGAACCACGTGTTTTCACGTGTCCAGGCCACCCAGGTGTGTGTCTAACATGGTGCTCCCGAGCTGGTACCATGTGTTTTGAACGTGTCCAGGCCACAGGGGTGTATCTGACATGGTGTTCCGAGCTGGTTGTCCCGAGCTGGAAACACGTGTTTTCACATGCCCAGGCCACTTAGGGGGGTATCTAACATGGTTGCCCCGAGCTGGAACCCAGGGGGGTATCTAACATGGTTGTCCCGAGCTGGAACCATGTTTTTTACGTGTCCAGGCCACCCAGGGGGATATCTAATTCGGTCGTCCCGAGCTTGAACCATATGTTGTCACGTGTCCAGGCCACACAGGGGGGTATCTAACATGGTTGTCCCGGGCTGGAACTATGTTTTTACATGTCCAGGCCACCCAAGGTGAGAACTAATTTGGTCGCCCCGAGCTTGAACCATGTGTTTTCACGAGTCCAGGCCACCCAGGGGTGTATTTGACATGGTTGCCAAGAGCTGGTCCCAAGTGTTTTCACGTGTCCAGGCCAACCCGGGGGTATCGAACATGATTGCTCCCAATTTGGAACCACGTGTTTTCACGTGTCCAGGCCACCCAGGGGTGTATCTAACATGGTTGCCCAGAGCTGGTCCCACGTGTTGTCACATGTCCAGGCCAACCGGGGGGGTATCTAACATGATTGTCCCGAATTGGAACTAGTGGTTTCACGTGTCCAGACCGCCCAGAAGGGGTATTTGACATTGCGGAACCAGGTGCTTTAACGTGTCCAGGCCACCTAGGGGGTATCCAACATGGGCCTCCTGTTCTGTATTGGGATATGTGCTCGGGGAGCATTTTTCGCTTCCCTCCAGCCTCCAGAGGCCCCAGGAGACCCGCGAATCGTGAGAACATATCGGATCCTAACGCCCCAGGGCGGGATAAGCGTGAAACCACATGGGCTCCTGACGCCCCTGGGCGGGGGAAGCGCGAAAACACATGGCTTCTAACGCCCCAGGGCAGGACAATCGTGAAACACACATGGGTTCCGAATGCCACAGGGCGGGAGATACGTGAAAACACATGGTTCCTAACGCCCCATGGCGGGGCAAGCTTGTAAACATATGGTTCCTAACGCCCCAGGGCGGGGGGAGCGTGAACACACATGGGTTCCACAACGCTCTGGGGCAGCCACCATGTGCTCAGGCAGCTCGAGGTCAAGATCCAGATCAGTTCGGTCAGGACTCGGATTCAAAGGAGGACTCGACCCACAACACGTACTATAGATCACAATCGCGGCATGGCACATCGCAGTTCAGCACAGCGCAGCACAGCACAGCCCTCGGCACGGTACATCAAGATCGATAACCTCAGCATTGCAATTTGGCACGTATTAGTGCACGACATGAAGATCGAAGTGTTGCCGCCATACCGCTCCACCAAGTACCTCGGCCGAAAGCTGCAATTCAGCGAGTACCACAAGACAGAAGTGAAAAACCGAATTTCTGGAGCGTGGAGAAAGTTCCATTTACTCAAACAGGAGCTTACGGGAAGAAGCTATTATATAAATAACCGAATTCGGCTTTTCCAGGGAACAATTACGCCGACAATGCTGTATGGATGTGAGGCATGGACGGTTACTCAGGAGTTGGAAAACAGAATTCGCAGAACGCAGAGACAGATGCTTCGCATGATCATCAGAACGCCTCGATGAAAGAAACTGGAGTCATCAGAAGCAGATCCCCGACGCAATCCCGATGGCGACAACGACGGCGACTACCCGGAAAATGACGATTCTTCAATTACCACCGGCAGCGGAAGGGATGTTCACAGCGGTCAACCACTTCCAGCCGCGGATGCTGACCAATTCCAGGAAGAAGATACCCTTGAGCCTTGGCCGGATTGGATCCGTCGTGCAACGCAACACGCCGAACATAGTATTTAAAATTTGGGGGTCGCAGATTGGATTACCACAATCAAAAAGCGTAAATGGAAACGGTTGCAAGAAATGTGTACTAACAGTACGAAAGAATGGGCACAGCGAGTGTTACAATGGGAGCCGCAAAATGATGCACACATACATACACAACGCCGTGTTGGACGGCAAAAGACCAGGTGGTGGGACGACATACTATCCTACATTAAACGGTGTGTCGAAGACGCGCCACAACATGTTGCAGGGTTACTACGACTAGCGGGGACGGACACATGGGACAATTTGGAGTCTGGGTACACACAACAGTGAGTGTCCATGGTTACGCGGCTAATATTCTAGTGCCGTCATCGCCGTCTGCCTCCTCCTCCCCCTCTTTGTCCTCCTTCCAGACAATGTGATGTATCGAATCTTGTTGTTGTCGCATTGTTTCACCAATAGCGGCGCCCCGGCGCCACCCTGCAGTGCCCCCGCGGCACCTTGACTGCAGGCCGCTTGTCCGCTTGTCCGTTTGGACAGGTCCCGCGGTGCGTCCCCCTGGCACGCCCCCTGGCACGTCGCTTGGCACGTCCCATGGGACGTTCCGCTGCGCGTCCTCCTTGCATGTCCCCCTGTCAATAAGCTCTGGTGCAGCTACTATGTGCTCAGGCAGCTCGAGCTTAAGATCCAGTTCGGTTCGGTCAGGACTCGGATGCAAAGGAGGACTCGATCCACAACGATATAGAGCACAGTCGCGACATGGCACATCGCAATTCAGCACGGCGCAGCACAGCACAGCCCTCGGCACGGTACATCAAGATCGATCGATTCAGTATTGTTTTTGCCCGTCGCCTAATCACGTGTGTTTGAAACGTTGCCATGCCTTACATGTCTACAGTCCTTTCCAGGTTCGTGGGTCGATCGTGTTCCCGGAAAGGGCGCGGGCCCAATGTTCTCTTGTATTATCGTTGTGTTTCCCCCCAGCTCCGGCCGGCGAAATTATTGGCTACAAGTAACAGGGTAAAGTCCCACTCGGCGTGGAAAAATTGAGGATGTCCCTAGCGAAACGTTGGTGTTTGAAGTCCCGATCGATAAATCACAGGGTGTGGGACACATGTGGGTCAGGGGCACGAATCCGTGTGTTTTTCATGTGTTCCCATAGGTTGGCCCTCTCCAGGGGCACGAATCCCCTTCCGTAGCCATTTTGGCTCAAGCCGTTCTCAGTCTTGCCTCGGCCGCGCCCGCCTCGCGCTCTGCAGCTGAGATTCGCTTGGGGAGATGGCTACGGTCGGCTGCCATGCCGCCCCCGAGGCGGCGGAGCAGCTCCGCGGCATGGAGGCCCTCTCGCTGTGGCCCGCGCGGCGTGCGCGGCGGGCCGCGGCGAGGCAAGCGGCAGACGGGAGGCTGGCGGCTGCCTTTGCGCGCATCGTGGAGCTGGAGGGCGAGCTACGTTGTGCGCGGGCGGCGGCCGCGGCTCCCGCGGTTCCTGCAGCTGCTGACTTCGAGGCCCGCGTCCTGCGCGAGGTCGAGCTGCGGTTGCGCTTAATGGCGCCGTGCATCAGCCACGGGGTCAGGGCCGCCATGCACGAGGAGGAGCAGGGGTGCGAGGAGAGCCGAGGGGCCCCCCCTCCTGCTCCCAGCTCGCTGGACGTCGGCAGGCGCAACACGGCGGCCCACCACTTCCGAGTGCAGGCTGCCGACATCGCCAAGATGGGCCAGCAGGAGCTCAACGCGGTGCAGCGCGAGGCACGCAGGGCTGGCCCCCGCAGGTCTGCTCGGCGTACGCGGCGCGACCGCCCAGGAGGACAGCTACGGCAAGGGCGCGGCGCTGCTGGCCGCGGACGTGCTGATCTTCCTCCTCGCACGGCTGGTGCTGCCCTTCTTCACCGCCGTGTGCCTGCCCAGCGCTCGGCGTCCGAGAGAGTGTCGACGGGCTGGGGCGTGGCCCGCAGGCGCGGGCGCAGCCTTCCCGCTGGCGCTCGCTTCGCGCTTGCTGAGCGCGTGTGCAGTGCTAGCCAGCCTCCCGTGGCCCCCTTGGCGTCTGGGGCGCTGCGGTGGCAAGCTGGCTTCGAGGATGCGGTGGCTAGCGTGGTTTGCGGGAGCAGCGCGGTTGCCACCAGCGGCACGGACGTCGAGCGGGACACGCAGGAGGACGGCGGCCGAGTACAGGGACAGGACCGCGCTCCCAGCCCATCTTCGACTTCTCCTCGCCTCGGCGGTTTCTACGGCGTCGCGCAGGAGCTCGGTGAGGATGGAGGGGGTGCCGACGGCGTGGACGGCTTCGGCAGCGTGGACGGCGCCTCGGCCACGGCTGCTCCTGCGCGCGGGCCCGTGCGGCTCTTCGCGCTACGCCGCCACGTCTACGCGGCGACCGTGGCCCTCACGGTCGACCGCGACATCCGGCGACCGGGCTGGCAGTGCGACGGCTGCGACGTCGACCCTCCGATGCTGTCGGCTTCTGAGGCTGCCGCTGGCCGAGAGTGGCTCCGCTCCCAGTTCGGGCCTGGGCCCCCGCGGCGGGCTTGGGCGAGCAAGGAGCGGCGGCGGCGCCCTCCCGCCTGAGCGGGCCGCGCTGAGGGGCTCGGCAGTCGGCCCTCAGATGTCGGCGCTTTCCCTCGGGCGTCTTGCGACTCTCTCACGCCTCGGCACTCGGGCGTGCGAGCGAGGCGTGCTGGCGCGCGGCAACGGTCTGTCGCCTCCTTGCCCGCCTGGATCGGCTCGTGTCGCACGAGCTGCCTTGTGAGGCGGGGAGTGCCTTCGGTGGTCTGGGCCTTTTCAGGCTCGGCACGGGGTGGATGGTGGCTCGCGCGGCCGCCTCACCTGACGGCGCACACCCACGTGGCGCGGCGAGTGTGCTGCAACTTGGAGGCCGCTGTTTGCGGAGCCTCCTGGCCGCATTTTGCGGCTCTCGCCTTCTTGGCGGCAGGATCGGCTCGTGCCGCACGAGCTGCCTTGCTCATAAAAAAAGGGGCACGAATCCGTGTGCTTGTAAGTATGTTTCTGTAGATTGGTTCTCTCCAGGAGGCCCCACGAGGTCCCAGGACACCCAGGGGTGTATCTAACATGGTTGTCCCGAGCTGGAGCCACGTGTTTGTACGTGTCCAGGCCAACCAGTGAGGTATCTGACATGACTGCCCCAAACTGGAACCACGTGTTTCTACGTGTCCAGGCCACCCAGGGGAGTATCTAACATGATTGTCCCGAGCAAGGACCGCATTTTTTACGTGCCCAGGCCACTCAGGGGTGTATCTAACATCGTTGTCCCAAGCTGGCACCACGTGTTTTTACGAGCCCAGGCAACCCAGGGGGGTATATAACATTGTTGTTCCGAGCAAGGACCATGGTTTAAAGTGTCCAGGCCACCCAGGGGTGTATCTAACATGGTTGTCCCGAGCTGGCACTATGTGTTTTTACGTGTCCAGGCCACCCAGGGGATATCTATCATTTTCCCAGAGCTGGATCCATGTGTTTTTACGTGTCCGGTTTAAATTCATCCGGTTTTAATTCGTCGAGTTAAAATTCATTCCATGTTAATTCATCCGTTAAAATCATCCAGGTTGAATTCGTCGGGTTTAAACCCATCCGGATTGAGTCCGCCCGTTTGAAATTATCCTGTTTAAATTCGTCCGGTTTGAACTCATCCGATTTTAATTCGTCCGTTCGAAATTCATACGGTTTTCATTTGTCCGGTTTATATTCATCCAGTTTTCATCCCCACAGCTTCCACACGAATCACGCAAAACACATCGGACGAAACCGCAGCGGACGAAATAACAGTGGACGAAAAAACAGCTGACGAAACAAAAGCGGACGAAACAAAAGCGGATGAAACAAAAGCGGACGAAATAGAAGACGGACGAAACCAAAGCGGACGAAACAATAGCGGATGAAACAAAAGCGGACGAAGCAAAAGCGGACGAATCAAAAGCGGACGAAACAAAAGCGGATGAAGCAAAATTCCATCTTTACGAATTTGCGTCTTTCGTGATGCTCTTTGCCTGCTCCTTCTGCAACTGTTTTTGATGGTCCTCCTGCTCCTTTCTGCTGCTCCTGCAAGCTGCTCAGGTGAGCTCCTCTTCCCTGCTCCTCCTGTTGGCTCTTGCTGCGCCTCCTGCTGCTCTGGTTCTCTTTTGCTGTTCCTTTTGCTGCGCATCCTAATTTGATGCTCTTCGAGCTGCTCCTTTTACTGCTCCTCCTGCTGCTCCTTCACTTGCTCCTGCTGCTCCTCCTGATGCTCCTCCTTTTTTCCTGCTACTCCTCCCGCGCCTGCTGCTCATGCTGTTGTTGCACCTCCTGTTGCTGCTATAATTTCTGCAACAACAGCTGCTACTACCCTTCTTCTGTTCATTTCTATCGCTTTTATTATTACAGCTGCAGTTTCTACGACGACTATTGGGACTACTACCACTACTACCACGACTACGACTACGATTACGACTATTACTGTTACTACAACTACAAGTACTACTACCACTACTACGACTACTTCCACTAGCGCAACTACTACGATTAGAACAAGCATTATGATTTCACATAGGACGCGTTCTACTACATCCCATGATTCAATGCGACTACTGTTGTCGATCTTCGTATTTATGCGTTTTGCCAGTGCTAATATTACTTCCAGGAGCCCATGGACGTGGCGACAGTTGCGCAGTTCACAACCGCCAAGGGAGCCGCGAGATCTCGAATGGATCTGCGTGGCCCTCACCTCCACCGTGCCTCCCAGGAGCCCACGAACGTGGCGACAGCTGCGCGGCTCGCAGCACCCGACCGAGCCGCGAGGTCTCAAGTGAATCTGCGTGGCCCTCACCTCCGCCGTGCCTCCCAGGAGCCCACGAACGTGGCGACAGCTGCGCAGTTCGCAGCCCCCGAAGGAGCTGCGGGGTCTCCAGGAGATCTCCGTGGAGCCCTCACCTCCGCCGTGCCTCCCGGCAGCCCGCGACAGTGGCAGCAGCTGCGCAGGCCGCGGCCACCGACGGAGCGCACAGGACGCAGGAGGAGGTAGGCGGAGGATGAGGCAGGAGGCGACCAGAGAGGAGGTAGGTGGAGGAGGTGGGGAGGATGCGCGAGCAGTGCTTCATTCCCAGACCCCCGACGTCATGATTCCTTCCTAACGTCGACCCCCAGAGGTCCCGACCCATTCCCTACGGCCGGTTTCTCCTCTCGAGTCGTTTCTTGACGGCCCCGAGGCCTGGCAACATCCCCCGGAGTTCTGGTCGTGATTTTGTCGCAGTGCGAGGGGGTCTCGGAACCCAACGCACAGGAGGGATGGGAATACCTGGCGATCTCGAGCAGCCTGGGGATCCCTCCCGGGAATGCCTGGCAGAGGACCAGGGCCTCCGGCGTACATGGGAAGCACCACTTGGATGCTCATGGCGGTTCCTTAGCACATAGCTCAGATAGTTATGGTTGCTAGCGCCGTACGCTGCTTAGCTAACCTAGATGTAATGAGGATAGTTAACCACCTTACGAAGTGGTTTCGCATGGAGTTTCTAACCTGGTTAGCTGCACGAGCTAACCTGTTTAGGGTGGTTGCGGTTAACTAGGTTAGCGAGGTTGCTAATTGTAGGATTCGGGATCAACCAAGTGGGATTTTGCATTGTATCCTATTGTTTTTTTCAAATGTTGCCCCCATCTGGCCCAGAATATGTCAAGTGTTCTGCGAAAACCTGCGTTGTTATAAGCGTACTTGTCGACATGGGGCAGGCAGACATAGCAAACGAGAGCTCAGTATTTGAAAAGGCTCAGCCCTCCATCCGTGAAGCTTCTGCACGTTTTCACCTTTTTTGGGAGGCGCTGGACGTCTCAAGCGAAGGCCCTATTTTTGCAAAAGGGAACCGCCCTCCCAAGAACAGGAGGATGAGATAGAGGAATGATAGGTTCAAGCTGTGCCCTTATCGATGTCACTCAGCCGTACGCTTCCCCTACCTGAGCCTACCTGGAACGAGAACCTCGCATGCCGTTCCCTCGGGAACAGTCCTAAACACGCACGGCTCGATGATGAGCCTTGTCTGGATCAAGGTGGGGGCATACTGGACTATACATCTTACGCTGATCTCATCACTGTCAAAGGCGTGCCATTGTGTTACGCACGTGTACACATGTTCTCCAACCTGAATGTGAAACTGAACCTTACCATATAATACTGCACCATCGGCTCCAAAGTATGCAACGACATCGTCCACCACAACAACCCTGCTCTGCACTCGGGCAGAGTTTGAAGTCTTGATTGGCATAAGGGGGCTCACACACATACCACAGGCGGCAACGGCATCTCTGAGTGTTTGTTTAGCTTCCAGCTGGTCCACCAATCCATCACCAACTATAGGCTCACGTAACTTGTACAATTGGTGAACCGTTGTCTCTTCAAGAAGTCCCAACTCGTAACCTCGCGTATTGTGGCGATCATCTGCGTATCGTTTGAACAGCTTGTGTTTTCTTTCCATGAGGTGCGTAGAAAGCAAACACCCATGGCGGAGCAGTTGTGACGGCAAGTGGAGCGTAGTGTGGGTCTTTGGAAGCCACACCTCGAGTTCGTAGGCTGCTTTCAAGTTCACCAGATGCGTCGAAATTGCAGCTCCGAGAGCTGCAGCGCTGACAACTCCTGTATTGACCAAAGAGAGGAGACGAGAAACAATGCACAACGAAATGCCGCTTGCCACTTCTTTCTCGCAGAAGCCTGCAGGTCCGACTACAGAGACCAAGAATTTTTCAATGACAGGGGCGCACGACTGTTGCTCACTGGCGTTCCCACTCGGAAGGAAGTCATTCCTTTTCGAGCACACGTTGGCGCCTGATGCATAGCCTTTGGGCCACACCCAATGAGAGAGGTACTCGCTGAACTCTTTACCACCCAATCGATATGGCGCCAGGCGGGTAAACAATGCTCTTGCCTCCACAGTAAACACACCGCCTTGGAAGTAAGTGTGTAACCAATCCCACGCCCATACATCTGCTAAGTTGACGTCGAGGTCGCGGTCCTGGAGTACACCAGTGGGGCAATACAGAAATCCGAATAGCACTTGCTTGTTATCAAGCTCCTGCGTGTCTCCTGCCTCTGCCAATTGCTTCAGGCGCATCTGTATACCAGTGATACTAGCATGAGTGTGAGGCCTGAACTTTGTGATGTCGACCTCGTCGCTAGAAGCAAGGAAGCCAGTGCTGTCGGGGAGCAGGTGGCTCCAGTAGGAGCAAGCGTTCTGACACAAAGCGCACAGTTTGTGTCCTGCCACGCCTTTCACCGCGAATCCAAATTTGTGTGCCCTTTCATCTTGCACGACTATCGAAAGAGAGCCGACCACAAATCGAGGGTTATCTTCGCCAATGTCCAGATGGACCCCACTCCTGAGGTCAGCTTGATCTGGCCGTCCGAAGAAAAGCTTGAGGCAGTGTTTCATCAACTCTGCCATGCCACCTTGAAGTTTGTTCACTATGGTGGAGCGCGCCCCAGTGACCACGAACCAGCACTCTTCGTGGCATAGTGCTGGAAATCCGAATTCACGTACTGACCAGTAGAATGATTCAATGCGCCGTTGGTTCTTCTCTGCCAGCGGATTGCCTGGCGTGATCTCGTCTGTGTACGCAATGACGGACAGCTTGTTGCCGTGCGCGTCGAGAGTCTGGCGAAGCAGACGCCCAAAGGAAACGCTCTCGCGGCACGCAACTTCCAACCATCCGAGGGGGTGTTGAAACCAGAGATCTACGCTGCCTCCGCAGCTTGAAGGAAACGTTTGCTTCACGAGAAGAGGTCCGAACGACGTGCTCCTTTGGGCCTCTTTGTGTCGGGCACGCTGCAAGGTGGCCCTGGATGAATGCTCTGGAAGTCCATACCTCCGAACCTGCTCGAGTAGATGTGACAATGCGCTAGCTGACACATGTGCCTCCTGGCCGTAATCGGTGATACGAATTTTCTTTGTGTCTGGAGCCATGCGCAAGCTGAACAGTTCGAGCCAAAATGGTTACGCACCCGCCCCCCGTAGCTGTTCTGATACCCGTGCGGTCTTGACCGAGAGCGCAGATCCCCCCCGTTCTACACTAAAAACAATAATACCCTCTAATGCTTTCTAAAACACACCCCGCAACCATGCTACTGGACAGACCGCTTGCATCGACTCGCCGTCATCATCATATCATGTAATCATCGTGATCGTCCTTCTCGTGGCCATCTCCCTCCCTCCTCCCTCACCCTCCCCTCAGCTCTATATGCCCTCCCCAGTGCGCATAGCATAGCTTGCCCTCTGCCAGTTCCCCCCCAGCTCGACGGGATTGGCGGTTCCAGGCTACAAATGACTCTGGCTGACTGTGGGGGGGGGGGGGGGGGGGGGGGGGGATATCTTCAGGCCTCCGAAGGCGCATTCACAATTGTTCCGGCAGGGTTGGGGGATTACGAAGATGTGCACCAGAGCTACGCATAAGGACGATAGGGGGAGAAATAACGAGAGAGAGAGAGAGAGAGAGCGAGAACAAAGAAAGAAGGCGAGAGAGAGTAGGAGGAGGATGCCAAAACGAAACAGACGGATTAGGATGATATGAGCGAGGCGTGGATTTCCAAGTGCGATCATGTGGGGCCATGTCCGCTAACATGTTGCTGATGTCACGCGCTGACAAACAGAGCGTACTTGACTGCGCGGAGAGATTGAGTGCCAACTATCCCCCAAGCGAGCGACGTCTCTTAGCAGTAGTCCCAACAGTGCCTACCCCCGAAACTCCTAGGCAGAGCATGCATTGGACATCCCAGGAAATACCCCTACATGGGCTTCCCAGCCCACTTCCTCCAGACCTCTTTGGCCTGACCATAAGCAGCTCTAGCAACATCAGTGGCCTGGTCGACGGTGTAAACTTTCGCGGCCCTGGCTTTGGCGGTCGAGTAGGCGCGCGACGTGTATTGGTTCTCGGTTCGCCCCTCGCAGTCGGCCACCTTCAGAAGGTCGTTGAAGTCGACCTTGCCTGAGGGACGGGCGGGGCGCTGGGGGGAGAGGAGCGCCAAGGACTGGAGGAGAACGATCTGTTGTGAGGAGGGCGAACAGGAGGGGGAGGAGGAGGAGAAGGAGGAGAAGGAGGAGAAGGAGGATAAGGAGGGGGAGGAAGAGGGGGGAGGCGGGGGAGGAGGAGAAGGAGGGGGAGGAGGAGGAGGAGGGGGAGGAGGATGAGGAGGATGAGGATGAGTAGGAGGGGGTAGGAGGAGGAGGAACGGGAGGAGCAGGAGGATGAGGAGGAGTGAGAATGGCAAACCGCGCTTTCACAAAACGTGAGTTGGCAGAGAGACGAGAACGATGAGGACGACATCGACAACGCTGAGGTGTGGTTGTTGTTGCATGCCCGATCCACCGTATGTGGCGTGCTTGCCGATGGACTTCTTGACTGGCAGGGACGTCTTCGGAACGGGAGCAGCTGCTTTGCCTTTGGCCTTGGCCTTCGCCTTGCCCTTGGGCGCGGGCGAGGCCTTGGCCTTAGCAGCTGCAGCCTTGAGGAGCTTGGTCTCCTCATTGGCCTTCTTCTTGTCCTCCTTCTCCTGCAAAGCGCTGCCAGCCGCATGCGCCGCGTTCGCCATGCTGGCCTCCAGCAGCTTCACTGCCGCAGCAGCCTCAGCATGAGAATCAGGAACAGGTTGAGGAAGGCTTGCGGCCGCGACAGCAGGACCATCAGGAAGTGCTGGAAGAGGCGCACTGGCAGGTGCTGAACTGAGGACCGATGCTGGAGGTGATCCAACCAAGGATTCGGAGCTCCCACACGCCGACATTGGGGAGTCAGCATTTCTCCGCGGCGTGTCGAATACTGTCACGTTGCCACCGATACCCTTGGGGCCGAACTGGGCAAACATCTGCTGCATGAACTGGCCCATGGCTAGCATCTGACTCTGCATGTCAAGCTGCACGCCTCTCTGGGGCTGCCTGCGGTCGAACCCAGAAGTAAGCTGCAGCGCGTCTGCGCTGCTAGCTCCGCTCCCCTCAGTTGCGATCTCCCTCTGCAAGCCCTTGTGGGTGTCCCTGGTAGGCACCGACTTCGCCATCAACTGGAGCGCATGTGGGCCCAAGCTGGGCGCAGTGATTGGACCCGCAGTGCCATCGTACGCAAAGTTCCTGGCGTCGTCGGCGAGGTCAATCGGGAGCAAGGGGTACCTCCGCATGTGAGCGAAGGGCCACGCATCCAAGACATTCATGTCCTTGATCTCCTTCTGGATGTCCGCCGCCATGGCCTTCTTGTTCTGGAAATTCAAGGCCCCCAGCTCCCCCTTGCAACAGATAATCGCGACAGCCCTCTGGAGGAGATCCTCACTCGGACACGTTAGACCTAGGCGCCACATCCTCGTGGTGAGGACGGTCACCTTAGGGCCCTTTGGCCGCGCTGGATCACATATGACGTCCCAGTCCTCCTGCGTGAGAAAGTGTTCCAAGGCGTCGCAGTACTGCACGGGCCTGGGCAGTCTCGGCCCACCCACTTGAGCGTTGGCAGCGGCGGCAGCACTCAGGGATGTAGCGAGGCGCTGCTTCTGCTCATCGGACCAGGGGCCACCAGCGATTTCGGCAGAGACGTCCGTCGCCACGGCAATGCTGATACCAACAGTTGTCGCAAACGTTGCGCACAGAGATTGCGTCTGAGACGCTAGGAGCCCATCCCTGCTCAGTCCAGCAGCCGACTGGGCGCCGATAAATGCGACGCGCTGCCTCACCATGCGAATGAGCATCGATGACACATCTGTGCTACCTGCAGGCGGGGCAGCCATTGGTTGGGCAAGGTCGGCAACCCGAAAGACAGGCCCGCAAACCAGCTTTGAGCCGACATACAGCTACGGACGACGGTGCAAAGGGGGGCCACAGTTGTTTGGGGTCTGAGCTCACGTGGTGCATCCTGTACCGTCATGGCTCTTGGCATTCACTCACCGTGGGGCTAGACGAGAGGGACCAATGCTTCCATTCGTGAGGCTGAGCCTTACCTTCCAAACAAACGGCTGTCGAATGCAAGCTCGAGAAGCTCCGACCAAGCCGAGAACCACTTGGTGCGAACTTCCATCTGGAAGTTCGCGCCTCTGGTGCGAACTTCCATCTGGAAGTTCGCGCCTCTGGCGCCGACTTCCATCTGGAAGTTGGCGCAACGGTTCGAACTTCCATCTGGAAGTTGGCGCCAGAGGTGCGACCTTCCATCTGGAAGGTCGCACCGCTGAGCTTCTTCGATACAGTAGGCAGAAACTTCCATCTGGAAGTTCGCGCCTCTGGTGCGAGCTTCCATCTGGAAGTTCGCACCGTTGCGCCAACCTCCATCTGGAAGGTGGCGCCAGAGGTGCGAACTTCCATCTGGAAGTTGGCGCCAGAGGTGCGACCTTCCATCTGGAAGTTCGCACCAATTCACCTCGCCGTCGGCGAGACCTGACTTCGAACTCACGCGGACCAAATGCAGCCGAAACGGCAGGCAACACATAGCTGGCTTGTCATCGCGGCGAGTCGGCACCACGAGGGCCCCTTGCTCTGTTTTCGAAGGAGTGCAACGACTGATCGGTTGATTGTATCGCCAGCGCACACCCCGCGGCACCGAGCGACCCGCCACATGCTGTTCGCAGAAGGCGAACACGAATTAAAAAAGAGGCTGCCCTAGTGCGCCCTGAGAGCGCCAGCGCCCCATGCTGGCGAAGCTCGCTACTAGGTCACTCCCGTGGTTTTCAGGCAACTTAGTGTTGCTGGTCGAACAAAGACGCGGCATGATGCTCCCGATGGAACGTCTCGAGGACCACGACCAGCTTCGCAACCTGCTGATCGAAGTCGGCTCGGATGGGCGTGGCTTTGACGTTCATCGATTTCTGTTTCCACGTCATTGAGCCAGCGTCGAAGTAGTGCGTGACCACGGAGCTGCGGTACCTCGACCACTTGACCACCTGGCTGTTGATGACTGGATCTACGATTGGCATTTCGGCAGGCTCATGCTTTGGCGTCTTCAGCAAGAGAAGCATGTTGTCCTGGTTAAGCTGGATCGCGAGCTTGCCCCTCGGGATCGCGCTGACCATAACCTTGACGTGGTGGATGCTACCGTCCTCGAGCGGCACTTCCAACTGCACGATCTTCTCAACGTCGTCGACCATCTCCTTACGAGGACGCTTGGCGGCCCCACCGTCAACTCCTGGATGCTGGGCGTCGCCCAGCGGGTCCGCAGCAGCGAACGCCGCCTCAAGCAACTTCTCGGTTGCGACCTCACGAAGCCTGACGAGCTCGTCCAACATGTCGTAACCGTCCTTGACAAACTGCCTGAATTTTTTGTTCTGCTTATCGCAGACCACGGACCGCTCCCCGTTCGAGTGGACCACCTTCGCGTACCACGCGTTGCCTGGGCCAGGACGGTCCGAGAGCGAGACCTCAACGAAACCCTCCACAATGCTAACCATCCTGGCTAGGGTGGAACTGAAGCGGGCAAGCAATCGGCCGTTGCAGCACTCGGACGCGAGCCCAAATGGCTACGGAGGCGGAGGAGGACGGGGAATAATACTATTGGAAGGGGTGTGGTTTCATTGTGGCGAGGTGGGGTGCTTGAACGAGGAGGGGGGTGGTTTTCCACAGTTCCGAACGAGGATTACGAAGGGGGAGGGATGAACGACTCGTGAGCCCCACCCCATCATTGTTGTCTTGCTGGCTGGCAGCGGGGCACGGGAGGGCGGGGCGGCGCCTGCTTCACGAGCGTGCAGTCCACGTCGGGGCGCAGTGAGCAGGGGGGGCGAAGGCGACGACGAAGACGACGTTACAGGCGGCGGCGTCTCTCTCCCTCTCTCCCTCGTCCCTCCCACCGCCCTCCCCCTCAAGTCCTAGCGTGCCCCCCCCCCCTCCTCACCTTCAGCAGTCATCATTTGCCTCGTCGTAGTCCTCCTCATCCTCGTTATCGTCATCCTCCTCGCCCTCCCCCTCCTCCTACTCATGGTTATTATTCCTGCTCCTTCTCGTCCCTCCTCCTCCTCCTGCTCCTCCTCCTCCTCCTCCTCCTCCTCCTCCCTCCTCCTCCTTCTCCCCCTGCGCCTGCCCCCATCGGTCCCTGAACGGTGGTCAATCCGTGTCTCGACCACCGCGCAACCCAGGCGCATTTTCGAACGCACCGTGGCTGAGGCGTCAGGGGGCACTCCTCAGCGGTACATCGCGCCACAGCTCGAGGTAAACAGAAACAGCTTACAAAGAGAGAAGGCCACAGGTGTTCGGGGGTTCCCTGCAGGAGCAACGTAACAACATCTCATCATATTATCGGGGAGGAGGGGGTGAGAGATTGATGGCACGAACTGGTCAAAGCTTTCTTGACAAGACCTTCGCCATTGCCTTCGGCGCAGGGGCTGGCGTTGCAGCCCCCCCGCCCTTCGTTACGAGCCCACCCTCGGGGATCGTTGCCTTGTTAGTGAGCACGGGCACCGAAATAATACGCTCAGTCGGCTCAGAATCAGTAGCGAACGAGAACTTAAGCAGCACGGGTAGCGAGCTCCACGTCATGCTCGGGGCCTCAGCCGTGGGGACGAACCAGAAGGGCACGCACATACCATGATCACCTTTTTTGGGCGGGACCTTGGGCAGATCGACCTTTGAGGGGCTTATGTAGATCTTGGTGTCACCGAGGCCGACGACTGGGATATCTATCGAATTTGAGGGAACTTTGATGCCAGCGCTCACAGTTGGCGACCATGGGACCAGCACCAGACAGCCTTTATCGTACTTGGCCGTGGTCGTGATTTTGGAAACCGACTGCTTAGGAGAAGAGAAGTAGTGGATTGAAAACTTCGTGCGGCTAAACTTCTGGAGCAACTGAGACAAGGCGGCCTTCGTGTCAACGATTGCCAGCTGGATCTTGGCCTCCTTGCGCTCCTGAGGCGGCGGAGGAAGAGGAAGATAAAGAAGGAGGCGGAGGAGGAGATCGACGAAGGGGAGAACTGTCACTAGAAGGAGGGGGAGGAGGAGGAGGAGGAGAAGGAGGAGGAGGAGGAGGACGAGGAGGAGTAGGAGGAGGAGGGTGGGAGGAGGAGGAGAAGGGGGATGAGGAGGAGGTGGAGGATGAGGAGGAGGGAGCGCGCACCAGTGCAAGGAGCAGGATAATGAGGAGGAGGACCATGAGGAGGGCAAGACGGAAGGAGACGCTTGCCTCAGATGGAGTGGGTGCCCTCCTTAGACGCAAAGAACTGTGGGGGGAATGCGGAGGGGAGAGGGGGAGGACGAGGATGGAGAGGATGAGGGTGAGGATGTGGAGGGGGAGGAGCAGGTGGAAGAAGCTGAGTAGATGACTGGGGTCATCGCCATCGTCGTCGTCTGGCCCCCGCGCGCGGGTCCAGCACGCACGAGTTGTCATCGATGGCGATGTTCTGTGGCACGGAGCTCTCGAGCAAGACCTCGCCACGGTGAGGATTAAGGGCGAGAGAGGTCGAGGGGTACGGTGGGAGTCTGGATCATTACCCCTGGCTGCAAATTAAGCCCCGAGGGAGGGGGGGCAATCGCTTAAAAGAAGACCCCTAAAGGCTTTGAACCCCGCTGAAAGGCCTCAAAACTATGCCTTAGTACGTTGTATGGCGACTTTGGGAGTGGTCCGAAAGAGGTGGGGCGACTCCAGAAGGTGGGAAGGGGGCTTCCAGTATAAATTGGCTTGCGCCTTCCGTCCCCCCAGTGATTTTCCTTCGCTTCTTCCTCCTCCTCCTTCTCCTCCTCCTCCTCTTCCTCCTCCTCCCTCTGCCGTCCTACCCACTATATTTAGATATATGCACGTACGTATGCGCATCTATGCTATGTAGTACGTTGTGGTGTCGGCGTCCAAGGACGCCTGAAACAATGACCCAAGACGAACCTGTCAAACACGAATTGGAAGATCTCTCAGAAGCTTGCATGGCAGAAAACTTGGAGAAAACAAAAGGGGCGGGCCTTGTACTCGTCTACCATCTTGCTGACCTCCACGTTGAAAGCGAGCGGCTGCGAGTCCTCCCTCGGCTTCTTGGACGGCTTCGACACGGTCACCTGCAGCTTGTCGATATTCCTCTTCAGCGTGGCTTGGTTGCCCTCGATCTTATGCACCACGACGAGCTCATCGGGATTGTTTTTGCTCTCCAAGACCTGGCCGACGCAGTAGCCTAGAGACTTCGCGCTGTCCGCGGCGAGGCCACTCTCCCCGTAGTCCCGCATCGTCGGAGTCGTAGTTGCAGAAGCTGTGGCCTTGGCAGGCTCGGTATACTCGAAGGGCGGTTCCAACTTATCTTCCCCAGCGAAGATGTCGGGCTTGATCGCGAGCAGGTCGGTCATGAAATCGTTCCGGATGGCGTTCATGTCCGCGTAGTGCTTGCGAGTCTTGGCCCGCTTGTTGAACAGCAGCATGACAACCCTAATCTCGAGGTCCGCCCTGAGCTTGATCACTTCGTTGAGCTCCATCCCGTACTTCTCCTTGACCTTGTCCAAGAACCCAGCTGCGTCCCGCATCATCTTCACGGCCACCTCGCAATCCTTTTTACGAGACTTCGTGATCGTGGCCAAGTCCGCCGACGTCATCAGCCTCGACTCGTTGCCCCTGCAGTAGGTATCAGGAGCCGTCATCATTGCTTTGACGATGGCTGTGAGGAGCTCTGGCCCCTGCGTGTACTCGACTGCGGCAAGCATTTTCCATGAGGCCCCTGCTAACTCACGTCGAAAACGAATCGTGGACGCGAACGCCTTGAGGTCCTTGAGGAACGTTGCGTCGGACCCACCCGACCAG